CACAGGGAGATGTTGATGTCACGGACTAGGGGGGTGGAAGAGAGGTGGGCATCATGGGTGGGGGCCCAAAGGGGGGACAGCCTCCCTCAGAAATGCTGCTATGCAGCCCAAGCCCCAAGCTGCCTTATAGCTTTGTGCATCTCCCTTCCAGCCCACGTTCCTCCTTGTTCTCTAGGACGGACCGTCCTGAGTACGTTCCCTATGTACTAGGGCTAGTTAGTGGGGCGAGGCATCACCTGCACGGAACCGGCATGTTCCCAGGGGCTGGGATTGCTCCAGGTCAACCTGTGCCCTGCTAGCTCTCCCCACACCTTGCCCCTCCTTGGGCTGGAGGCAGCAGCACTACAAGCTAAGCCCAGGCTGCCTGTGCCAGTGAGACCCTGCTGGTCGGGGCGGGGGCATACTGTAGTGGAAACGGTGCCTTTTACGAGGTCCATGGGAACAGAACTGAGACCCACCAAGTGGCTGCAAGCTCTGGAGTCCCAGACAAGGTCATATTGACCTCCTGGGGGCTGTCCCGAGCCCTCCCCTCCCATCCCTGGAGGGCTTGGTGCAGCGGGGATGGTCGGGACACCTGCCACGTACTGTTGTGCAGCCAGCTGGTGAAGGTGAGCGAGCAGTTCTGCACGTCGAAGGGGAAGTTGTAGATGTCCAGGCTGCAGGCAGTCACCACCTGGATGGGCTTGAGGTTCTTGACCTCCCCATGGGAGCGGACATAGACGTACGGGATGTCCGGGGACTTGCCCATGTCCACGCTGATGGAGACGCCAAGTAGGATCCATCCCCGTCAAAGAGAAGAAGAAAAGGCAGAGCCCTCTGGTGAAATGCCAGTGTGCTGCAGTGACTGGGAGCATCCCGAGTCGGTGACAGCTCAGCATGTTTCTCTATTGGGAACGGGAGCAACTGTGACACCCCTAGATGTGACCCTCGGGTTCCTGGCAGGGTGTTGGGCAGACAAAGCTCAGACTGGATAGCAGCATGAGCCCACACAGAAGTCTCTGTTGAGAGCCTGTTGCTGCCGGCTGACTCCTGCCCAGGAGCTGAGCAGCCCAACCTATCCCTTAGCCAAAGAAACCTTCCAGGTTATTGGCTCTGTGAAGCCATCTCTTCTCTCCAGTGTAAACCCCCCCCCTTCAGTTCCCGAGCGTCACCCCCACTCAGCCAACCTATCGCTCCAAAGTCTCAATGGACGACACGCCTCTTTGGATGGTTAGCGCTACAGTGCAAGGCTGGATGTACAGCTCCCAGCCCGGCACAACATGTCTGTGCTTTGAACAGGTAGGAGTCTGCCATAGTCAAGGGTGTTTCCTAGGATTGTTCCTGTGCTACAGCTTCCTCTTGTTGTCACTTCAAACCACGGAAGGGTTTGCTTGTGCCAAGACAATGGGATGTGCCTAGAATGGGACTGTTCATAAAGGCAAACAGAAAAGAGACAGAATCCCACCTCCCATCCAGAACTGCCCGAGCCCCCCCCCTCCGGTGCCTGTTAGGGAGGCCGGGGGAGAGAAAGGACTGAACCTCCTGGCCACCACCAATTCATACAGGGACGTTGCTGGCTGTTCCCCTTCGCTAGAGGGGAACAGCCAACATCCCTCACTCTGGCTGGGGAGTGCAGGGGGCAGATAAATCTGGACCTGCCCCAGCTGGGGGACATGTACCCTTCCCCAGCTGTGCACCCTGGAGCTGCAGCAGCCATGGAGAGGCGCTTCTCACCTGGCCACAAGCTGCTGAGGTAAGTGAGAGCTGGGGTTGTCCTCTCTCCCTAGGGCAGCCTGCATCCTGCACCCCTCCGCCTCGGCCCCACCCCAGCGCCATGATACAAAGGGAGCACGGGCACTTGTATGTTCCATAAAACTGCTTGTCTGAAGGACCCGCACCAAGCAGCCCGTCTGGTCCCTTCCCCAAAGAAGCTCCTACACAGTCAAAGGACAGACCTGTCGTGCAATGGTTCCCCATGGTGACCAAGCTCTCGGCCATGTCTGGGAACAGTGGGTTTCTGTCTGTCACACGGTTATCAATACCCCACAGGAGAGCTGTGTCCTGAGTCTTCCCAGCCAGCAGGGGTGGGAAAGGCCTCGAGGAGGCGGGAAGGGGCTAGTGAGCCAGTAGCTGGGGATTAATTTTGATTGGTTCTGGTTTTGTCTTTGGAAACAAAGGGAGGGCAATGACTTTAGCTGGGGGGCTCTGATTGGTTGTTTTTTGGGGGGAGGGAGTTGGTGAGTTTGAGACAGGCCTATACATTTGCAGTTTGTTAGCATTACCAGAGGCCATTCTGAATGGACCGGCTCCCTCTGCTTCATCCAGGGGACACCTCGCTGAAGTTATCCCGCTGCACAAAGCAAAGCCGTAAAGTTTTTACGGGCGGCGGGTGCCTGCGCTCGTGAAAGCTCCTTACATCCTAGCAGAATAGCGATGGGGAAGAACAATAGATTTCTTTCCTGAGGAAGTGTTGGCAGTTCTGCAGCTGCCCCTGCATTGTGTTTCCTGTACAAAACCTTCCGCTGAAGATCTGAATTCCTCCCCAAATGCACCCCGGGTAATTATGAACATTTATAGTTCGCCAGCATTGGAAATGTCCCAACTCTGAGCTATTCCCATCTGCAGTGTGCGGGATGTGGGGATATTGCCAGCTCTGTGCAAAGCAGCAGCAGTGCTGGGAATATCAAGTGGGATGTGAATTTGCGGGGAAGAGGAGAGAGAGTTAAATCTCACAGCTTTCTTCTGGGGCCTGGTAGGCAGGAGTCCAAGAACTTGGCTGCACTTACAACTCATTGATGAGGATGTCCGGCACCCAGATGCTCTCAGTGGGGAGGGACAGCTGGGTGATGTTATCAAAGTCCTCTGGGTTCCACCTGAGAAACTCGTCAATCCAGTGCTGCAGAAGTCAGATAAGAGGGGACTTAAGCAGGCGGATCAATTCCAGGCCAGTGGCCCATAGGTGCATTCCCCGCCTCTGGCAGGAGTCTTAGATACAAAGCAAGGCGACTCTTTCCAATTATGGGACTTGCCCCGCTGTACAAAGCTTTCAGTATTCACCCGTTCCCCTCTAATCCTACAGCCGCTTGTTATCCTCCAGTGGTTTCCACCTCGCTGCCCTAAGCTGGGCAATTTATTGTCCGTGTGCCCATTCTCAGAACCAGAGGGTGCTGGGTTTTACATGCTGGCTTCACCATGCATACGGGGATGTCTCCTTGGTGCAGGAGCAAGCCTGTGCATGGTTTTAATCTTCTGGAGCCTCTGTGGATATATTAGCGTCCCAGCTATTTGTCTGGCTGCATTCATTTGGGGAAGGACTTAGGGGAGCTGATAGCTAGCAAGAGTTCTTAGGGCTCTCCCAACCAGGCAGATGCATAGCCAACGACAAAGGGAAGGTGTACTCGGGGACCTCTGAGGGAAAAGAAAATGAGAAGTAGAATAGGGATTCCCAAGAGATCCCCCACGGATTCCAATGTCCCACTATGCTCCTTCTATCCTGGACCCTGGGGAGTGGAAGGAAACTCCTACCTCTCCATATGAGGGAAAGGGGAGTGGAGATACAAGTTGGTAGCTGGCCAAGTCGTCACTGTCAAGTGATGGCTGGTTGAGCTACAGACACTCCCGAGTGGCCTTCAGTGAAGCAGGCAATATGTCTTCCTTCACAGAGCCATTGACAATTTCCAACAGAAAGTCCTGATGGGCCAGCACCGGCCAAGAAGCACCCAGAAGCACCTGGTTCCTGAGCACAGGTTGCTGCATGCAGCATGCTCAACGGCTGCCTGAGAAATCGCCACGTTACTGTGGGTGCCCCAGCTGCAGAGCTAAACGCTACTGACCGTGGAAAGGACCTGGAGAAGTCCCGCCAAAGGAGAAGGGACGAGTAACCCGTTAAACCGGGGCTTTGTAAAGCTGGGAGGCTCCCAGCCACTCACCTGCTGGTACCAGATGTAGGTTGTCAGCACCTGATTTTTTTCATCCTGTTGAAAATAAAAAGCAAAGGTGAAATTGACAAAGGGTGTTTGTGTCTGAGACCGGCATTCGCTGCTGCTCACGGAGGGGGCCCGATGTTATCAGGAAGGGCTGGGATACGAATGAGATCAGATTCCAGATGTCAGTGAGGAGACAAGGGTAGAAGACAAGGAGACGGCAAAGGGTAACAAGCAAAAGAGCCTCTGATTGTGGATCCCTTGGGGCACTGAGGGACTTTACGTTCTTCCACTTCCCCCCCAGAAGGCCTGGCTGTCCTCTCACTGACCTCCAGATACAGCCACTGGTCTAGCACCTTTTAAAGCAAACTTCGGAATACGGGGCGTGCCTGGAGCGTCTCTGATTTCCCCCGAGAGGCCCGGCATTCTACCTCCGCATCCACACCTGGCTGGCTTCTGAGGTCGAGCTTTTCTGGGCTGGTGCATTGAATGTTATTGAAATACACCCAGGCCATGTTTTCAAATCCCATCTGTGAGTGGGGGGCTGAGCGCTTTGGAACCCCACACCTTTAATGAAGTACCGCCGGGGTTTGAGCCCTCGAAGACGTGGTGCCAAGTGATTGGCCCTAGTTTACCGAAATGGGATGCGTCCCCTCACTTCACCCTGGGTGTGGAAAAACTTAGCGACATGTGAACCGTCCCCAGGCTAAGCGGTACCTTCCCCCAGTCCTCAGCCTCAGACATACGAGGTCTGTGGGGCTCAGTGGCCACGCAGAGGACTTACCACGCTGAGGATGGCATAGACCATGACATCGATGGCTACGTTGGTTGTTCTTCTCCAGTCCTGAACTGGACGGACGCCCTTTTTGTAATGAGTCAGCAGGTAGTCGGAGAGCTGGAGTAAGGCTGGCTTGGTGCCGTTCCAAGTTGTCTTGTTCCCTTTCCGACTGGCTAAGGGGGAGAAAATGACATTTGTCCTGGACTCTTTTCTGGGTGTGAACCTTATCAGTACGTCCCTTGTCTCTCCATGTGGCTGCATCATCTACACCAAGTTAAGTGACTTGGCTCGGGGAAAGCGGTAGGCTTGCCAGACGCTTTCACCAAAAATCCCGAACACGGCAGGAAAAGGACTTGGTTGAGCAAAAAAAAAAAAGGGGGGGAGACCAAACTTGTTGATCAAAAAAAACCCAAGGAGACGAAAGAACAGGAGAACAAAAAGAAACACCTTTAAGAATCACCGCGCTCCTCACTTCCCCCCGCTCACGCCAGTCGCTGCAGGGGAAAAATGTCCCCATCAGCTTTCCATCCAAGAAAAACAGAATATACCAGACATTTTACAAAAATTGGACACCTGGCAACCCTAATCCCGCCCCGGACTGGCTCCATGTGACTCCTGACAAGGAGAGAACAGTGAAATACTGCATTGGCTCGTCGTGGGGTGCATGGGCTAGGTGCAACGGGGCAGCTTGCCTTGTGGGCAGCAGAGCCTGGGGCTAAGCCAGCCCTGATTACACGACCGGCCCCAGCTGGGGGAACCAGGTGATTCCAGTACGAAAGGAGCGGGAAGCGGCAGGGAAGGGGACGCGAGGGCTGCAGACGCTGCAGGGTGCAAGAAAACGCCTGCAGGACTCCTTCCGCAGGAGAAGAGCTCAGAATCAGGGGAGAGCAAGACGGTTCTCCAGGCAGACAGGCCTGGGACAGGCCCTATCCAAACAGGGAAGAGACTGCAGTAGCCCAGCTGGAAAGGGCGGTGGAGGAGGACGTACTCCAGACAGGCGGTGCTGAGGAGCAGGATGCAGGCATGTCGGGAGGTGGGGGATGTGCCCCCCTGCGGCGGGGATGCAGACTGAGTTTGCGCCCTGTCAAAGGCTCTGTGCTGGTTTGGCTGAGGAGGGAGACACTAAATTGGGGTTGGAGCCTGGACGGCCGTCCTGTACCCACAACACTAGAATCATAGAACCATAGAGCTGGAAGAGACCTTAGAAAGCCATCAAGTCCGGCCCCCTGCCCAAGGCAGGACCAACCCAACTAAATCAACCCAGCCAGGGCTTTGTCAAGCCGAGACTTAAACACCTCTAGGGATGGAGATTCCACCCTCTCCCTAGGGAACCCATCCCAGTGCTTCCCCACCCGCCTAGTGAAATAGTTTTTCCTAATATCCAACCTGGACCTCTCCCACCGCAACTAGATGAGACTCTCGTGGGGATTGTTTGAACCACCTATAAACTGTAGGTTCTCCAAGGGCTCTGAGGAGGGGAAACCGAGGCAGGGTTCTTAGCAACCTCTGCCCCAAAGGGGCCCTTTGGTGGTGGCTGCCTGCTTTACCAATGGGAACAGAATTTACCACAAGGCTGACTGTCAGAGTAAAGTTGTAATTTGTGTTTTCTTTGCAAAAGGCCACCCTCCTCGCTCAGTGGCTGGGGAGCTCCAAGCCCTGTTTCCTTGGCTGTGGGAGGGAGCTGGGTGCAAGGTGCCATGTGAAGGACTCGTGGCTCCCAGGTCTGTTTATCTCCTGGTTCAGGGCAGAGGAGAGGCTGCTCAGGCCTGGGGAACACACCTGAACCTCTTTAATCCGGCACTGCTGGGAAACAGGGTTTGCCAGATTGCAGATTTTGCCAGGCCAGGGAGGGAATGGCAAAATCTGGTACCTGTGTCCCCGGCCGCTCCCAGGTACCAGCCACCACTGCTATGGGAGTGGCAGGGGAAAATCTTCCGATTGAGAGCATTGCTGCACTGCCAGCGCCACAGCCAGGGGGCGGGGGAGCAGTAGCATGCAGAGCCATTTCCGCCATGGCCTGTCCATGCCCTGGGTGTTCCCAAATTAGGGACACCCCGAGTAAAATTTCCCTGAGTGTTTTTAAATAATTTTTGCCCTGGGAAGTAGAAGGGGCAGGAGTAGGGGAAAGATGCTGAAGGAAAAACCAAGGTGTTTATCTCTTGGTTTGATTTTTAGAGTGTATTTGTGTGCCCGAAGGCCTGACCCAAAGCCCACTAAAATCAATGGCAGTCTTAGCATGGACTTCAGTTGATGTTGGATCAGGTCCTGAGAGCTTCATACACTGCAAAGGCTTCCAAGTGGTCCTAGCCAAAGATTTCACTTCCAGACTCTCTTGGAAAGCAACAGCAGAGCAGCTGGTTTGCCTGGATATCTGTCAACTATCCATTCCTTGGCTGGTTTCACGCTGCCCGGCCCCCCCACTCAGCTGTGAGGCGGGGACCGTTTAAGGTCTTGCTCGTGCACCACTGAAGTCAATGGGAGCCTCGGCAAACCCTAGGAGCCTACGTTTTCTGCAAGCCGCCTCCACGCAGCATCCTGGTGTTCCTTGCTGCTCGGCAGACATGCTAGCTGGGCTCCTCCTCACCTTTGGTGTTGAGCTGACCCAAGGAAAGGAGCTGCGGCTTGCAGCTCTTCTACCAGCCAGAGAAGCGCTAGCAGAGCTTGTGTGATTAAAAACGAAGGAGGGGCCCGTTGCAAGTTGCGATCGCTGTGACTCCCCCGCCTTAGCAGGCTCGTAATGAAACGCTGCTCCCGGTGTGAGGCCTTCACACCAATCAGTCACAATATTACTGTTAAACCTTCACAACGAGTCCGGCGGTAGGGTGGGGGGAGGGACTGCGAGAGAGTGAATTTCCAGGCGCTGGTCCTCATCGAAGGGCTGCATTTAAAGAGGCATGGCTTGGTTGGTTTGTTCTTGCCGAGGGAAAGCTTTTTCAGATAGTGGAGGAAAAATGTGAAGAGCAAGGACATTTTGGGGTTGAAGTGCTGGTCTGGGACTTCCAGAGATTTAGCTTCAAGTTCTCCCCCTGCCACAGAATCCCTGTGTGACCCTGGGCAAATCACTTAATTTGGGTCTGTTTTCTATCTGTAAAATTGGGGCAATGATCCTTCCTTATTTCCTTCCACGCCAAATGCAGTAAGAGTAACTGGTGGGGGATAGGTTTACTGTACCCCTGCCAGTACCTGTCCTGGAGAAAGGGGTTTGAACCCTTTCACCAGAGATGTGCTCATCTCGTAGTTAACTAGCCATACTCGTTAGTATTTAGACTTGATGGTATCTTGAAAGTCGGGTCTCTAAAACATCCCACAAGCTCTCTGCATTAATGCTGTGAGTATTAATCGCATAATAGATTGTCCTCACACCTCTGGGCAACATTCCTGTTTGCAAGGCAACTTGGGAAGTGAAAGTCCAGTCAACGCCTCAGAGCCATCTTTTCAGTTCAGCCTGCAAACATGGCCAACTAACACCAGAGCACAATTCCTATGGAATCAGAGGAGTTCGTTGGAACAGATCTCTAGGAACTTAAGAGAAGCTGCCTAGAAATGGACCTTTCATCTTTTAACAAACAAAAATGCTTTACATAGGGCCTACAATGCCTCCAAGTTAGGGCTCAGACCAGCCCATCCCCCAGTCTGTGTAAGGCAAAAGAGGATGAGAAAAACACATGAGAGCTGCAGAAGGAAAAGAGGCTGTTTGTGCTGTAGATTCTGTTGCCCTCTCTTCCAAATGGGCCTTAATGGTGCAGCTGGTCAAAGCTGGCTCACGAAGGTTTGCTTTTGAGGCCTGCCTTGCCAGATTCTGTGTTTGCAGTGGTGTTGTAGCCATGTGGATCCCAGCATGTTAGACAATGTGGGTGAGGCAAGATCTTTTATTGAGCCAACTTCGGTGGTGAAAGACGCATGCTCCAAAGAGTTTTTCTTCAGATCAGGTCTGTGTACATTCAAAAGAGGAGAGAATTTGGAAGAATTTACCTACATCAGTAGGTAACCTAGCCTGGGGGTGAGTGTGCGTGCACATACGTGTAAAATAAATAAAGCTGGGTGGGAAATACATTTCCCAAACTGAGAATAATTCAAAATTTGATTTTTTTTCATCCAAAATCACAAATGTTCCCAAATCAGCCTCCTCCATCAAATGGTCAGGTGACTCAAAGAGTTTAGCAGCGACCGTTCTGAAACAATTCAGTTTTCTCTTTTCCTGCTTGAATTAGCTTAAAGTTGGAAATGGAACCTGGAAAATTGGCATTTTTTGTTTCAAAAATGTCAAAACTTGGACAAGTTTAAAACGTCTTCTTTCAAGGCTCACTAGCACTTTTTGGATAAGTAGGCTTTTTTCATACAAATGCCATTGCTCAAAAAAAAATCCTGATTTTCTTTAGTGTTTCATGAGCATGCCTTGCCTTGTTCCAGAGGGTGTTTCTAACCCAAGCCATTGCTGTACTGCAACATGCATACTGCTAGTTTTTGCATGCTTAGCCCTTGTCTGACTCTTGCACAAGAAGATTTACAGTACGGCGTGGTAAGAGAGGGCTTCTTGCGCAACAGCTACGCTCTTTTTCAGGTGTAAGCCCTCTTGCGCAGGGGCTCTTGCAGAAAAGGGCAGTGTGGACACTGGGTGGGGGTTTCTTGTGCAAGAAAGGCCTATGGCTAAAATGGCCATCGGAACATTCTTGCGCAAGAGAGCGTCCACACTACCATGGATGCTCTTGCGCGAAAGCACACCTCGCACATGGCAGCGTGGACACTTGCGCAAGATACTGCCAGTGTAGACATAGCCCTAGGTGTGTGGGTTACATCTACACAGCACTTATTTCGAAAGACAGTGCTCTTCCTCCGATTTCCCTTATTCCTCCTACACTGAGGGTTACAGGAGTCAGAATAAGAAGTCCTCCAGCTTGACTGTATTTTGACATTATTTTGAAATAACGGCCTGCTGTGTAGACGTGGACTATGTTATTTCAGAATAGGGTTGCAGTGTAGATGTACCCTTTTGGGGAGTTTCACCTTTGAGCCTTTCCCTTTTGCAGGCAATTTTGGGATGAGAAAAGGCCAGCCCAGCTCTTCAGCAGTGTTGCTGCTGGACAGCTCCCAGGGGCAGCTGCCGGGAGCT